AAGGCGCGTGAGCCCCCCCCCCCCCCCCCTCTTTTTTTAGTAGCTTGGGTGTTGTATGGCTTGGCCATTTAAATTGCTCAAGACTTTCAACTAGTTGTCACATAGGCTTCCCATTGGATTGAAATGGTGGCTTGTCCCTAGCCATGCAAGCCATGCAAAGTGATACTCTAGTTGAATTAGGTACCTAGGCAGCTCTTATTCATATGCAATATTCATGAACCATATTTTTGAATAGGATTGTGCAATGAATTATTTAAATATTACATGCTTGTATACAATATTTATATGTAAGAAGAGAAATCTTATCTTGTGGTGTGCCGAATGATGATGGGGTGTCGAAGGCATCACTCGGTCCGAATGATGGCGGGGTGCCGAAGGCATCGCTCACACCGAATGATGGCGGGGGTGCCGAAGGCATCGCTCGCGCCGAATCATGACAGAGTGCCGAAGGCATCGCTTGTCAGATGATGACGGGATGCCGAAGGCATCGCTTTTGTCGGGTGATGACAGGGGGGCGGAGGCAGACAGGGTGCCGAAGGCATCTCTCTTGTCAAATGATGACAGGGTGCCGAAGGCATCGCTCTTTGTCCAACAATGACAGGGTGCCGAAGACATTGCTTGTCAGATGATGACGGGATGCCTCTTGTCGGATGATGACAGGGTGCCGAAGGCATCTCTCTTGTCAAATGATGACAGGGTGCCGAAGGCAACTCTCGTGTTAAATGACGGGTGCCGAAGGCAGCGCTCTCGTCGGATGATGACGGGGTGCCGAAGGCATCGCACTCGCCGAATCATGACGGGGTGCCGAAGGCATTGCACTCGTCGAATGATGGAGAGGGTGCCGAAGGCATCGGACGCGCCGAATGATGGCGGGGGTGCCGAAGGCACCGCTCACGCCTAACGATGGGTGGTTGCCGAAGGCACCGCTCACGCCTAACGATGGGTGGTTGCCGAAGGCAACGCTCGCACCTAATTACTTGGAGCTGTGAGAAGACTTTTCTGCCTTTGCCGCTTGGTATTTTGGGTGGCCATTCAAAGGCAGCACTCAAATTACCGTTCGGTATAAGTTGAGTAAGCCACATTATCCATATAGATCGCATGCACCTCTTAGTGAGATGGAGTAAGTGGGTACCGAAGGCATCCCATGAATAAGCAGCAAGCAAGCATGTGTTCTGATTTCTGAGCTTTCTGAAATTGATGGAGAATTAGCAGCAAGTATGGTTACTCACTGTCCACTGTCTTGCCGTTCGGCAGGCAAATAGGCAAATTTGGTGGGACTTGCAAGCTCGGAAGTCGACCTCCCGAACGGTAGGATGACGGGTGTCGAGAGCGTAGCTCATGATGGGGAAGACCAGCTCCCGAACGGTATCCGTTGTGGAAGCAGTGGAGCTATGCTTTCGGCCTTTCACTTGATGAGCTTTGTAACGATGTCGTTTCTCCTTTTTCTTGATCTGTAGCCTTGGATTATTGAAAACTTGAAAACTTGGCACTCTTGGTTGGTCCACTTGAGAAATTTTAGCAGAGATGAGAGGTAGCCCAGTAAGACTGTAATTTGCGGTGCCGATCGGTAGTTTGATTTGCCATTAGTGGGACAAGTCCCCCTGCATAGCTTTGACGCAGGGGTTATTTACTTGGTGCCTTTGCAGACGCATGTGCTCAGCTGCTTTGAAAGATTGGAGCAATTGCTGAGGATGGAGTCTGTTGGCTCAATTATCTTGATTTGCCGAACGGCAAGACAAGTGAGAGGGGCTTTGATGGAGTGAGCTGAAGATGAATCAACTCCAGCAAGTTCAGAAGGTTTTGGAGCCATGACGGGCTGTCATCAGCTGTGAGGCATAATGTATTGAATTGCCAATCAGCAGGAGGTCTGGGCACGTTACTTAGCTCAACCATGTCCTACCGAACGGTAGGTGTATGGGTGTCTTGTCTCCTGGAGAGCGAACCACGTGAGCTTCCCATTGGATTGAAATAACGGTTGGCCTCCTTTGTCTTGACTTGGACATCTTGCATATCTTGAGCAATTGATTGATATGGTTTGCCGAACGGTAGCTCTTGGTCTTTGAGCTTTTGTGGAAGGTCATTACCAATGGCTATTGCCGATGGCTAATAGGCTTAGATTTTCTTTTCTTTGGCATGTAAGCCGATGATCTTTACCAATGGCTATTGCCGATGGCTAATAGTCTTGGGTTTTCTTTGATGTAAATATGGATGTGCCGAAGGCAATCATGTTTATGGGATGATGCATATGTGCCGAAGGCAATGATGCGAATGATGATGATGTAGATGTACCGATGGCAATGATGCGCATGTAATGATGCGTATATGCCGAAAGGCAATGTGGTATGAGTTGTACCGCTTGGTCACTCTGTGAGTGACTGAAATATTTTGCCGAAGGCATATTTATGTTGTATCCATGTTGCACTTTGTGTGCCATTCGGTATTTTGACCAAGTGGGTGCTTTGAGAAAGCCAATGGCATGGCTACCGTTCGGTAGCTGATTGAGCAACATGGAGAAGGATGGACACTCAAGGCTTTGGGTGGCTTGATCAATCTCCTGGATGGGTGTGCCGTTCGGTAATTAGGACAAAGACCAACCATGAATTAGCAGACTTGGGAGCTTCTGGAGCTGCTCTTAGAGTTGCTGATATGGAGCTTCCAGAAAAGACAAAATATAACTGCCACCGGAGGAGCTGCCGAACACAATTCTGAGCAATTCAGCCTTGGGGCGAGGCATGTGGGGTTTTCTTTAGCTACCGAACGGTTGGGTGTCTTGAGCAATTTGTCGGCATGGTGTACACAGCTAAAGTGCATGGACTTCGATAGCCATGGGAGATTTTATTGCTCCGGTGGGTGATGACTTGCCATAAGAAATTTAGTCAAGTTGAGTTGGTGCTGAACAGCATGATGCCGATCCCTTGACTCATTGGCCACAACATGGGTATTCCATTGAATTGCCGAATGGCAATTGACATGTGTTGAACAGCACTTACGCCACAAACTCACGGAAATGGACCATGTGGGTTGCCCTTTGGATTGGCATGTGGGCTTTAGTATGGGTACTCCATGCAAGCCATGCAAAAAGAAGAAGATATTTTTGGTGAATTGGAGTATTGGGCAACTACCAAATTGGAACTTTTTCAAAGTGAATGAATCTGGACAGCTGCCATTCATATCGTTGAATGGGACTTTGCAGTGAATTATTAAATATTGCATGCTTGCAATTATGTTGAAATAATACAATATAAGAATAGGAATCTTATCTCATGGTGGAATGCACTTGGGTGCCGAAGGATTGGAACAGATTTCTGCTCCATTTTCCATGCAACGTGACAGCCGTGAAAGCCATTCAAAGCGGGGTACCGAACGGTAAGGGCTTATGACTTGAAACGGAGGTATTGCTGAATGGCAGTTTTGAATTTTGTTGAGGTGGTGCTGTCACGTTGACTTGGGTCTTTGGGTGCTTTGAAGGAATTACTGACATGGGCAGCCATCAGAAGCTTCCAAACGACAGATAAATGGGCAAGTCCACTAGTGGATCGGTGGGGAATGGCTACCGAACGGTAGTCATGCAGTTTTGCCTTTGTTCCCTTTTATTTGCCGATTATTCATATTCCAGTTGGCTCTTGGATTTGGGTCTTCTGTAAGACATTTATATTGGCATATGTGAATAAAATAAGGACACAAGATAAGAAATGTAGCTCTTATCCTTTGGAAGCCCACTCATCAATATTCACCAAAGGTGCCGAACGGTAAGGCATGTTAAGAGAAGCTAGGGTGGCCCACATATTTCCTCTTCTTTTGAACTATATTGCAAGGATTCATCTTTTGCATGTCACTCTCTTGAGACACTCACGGTTACTCCATTATGGTATTGCCGT